TAAATACTGTTTATAGAATGTTTGGTCTGTATTTATAAAATTAGTTATATATTTATATAATACAAAATTTATAATTTATGTGTGGGGGCACCATTTCGTTCACTCTGTTTGAAGCTTAATAACTTCTGTGCCTTTGGTCGAAATTTTCTGAAATTTTGCAGGAAAGTTTATATATTAGGAGGATTGATGCTGTTAAATTTTGGAGGTTAAAGGTCGATGGGGCGGGAAGATAGAGAGAGTTATGTGTCATATCTCGAGTAGGGTCGTTATTAACATTTACAATTTTTTAAAAAATAAAACAACTCATTCCTACTCTCAAAATTAAGTTTTTTTTGTCATTTTATAATAATTAATAATATAAAAAGTTTATAAAATAAAATATTGTAACAGATAGTATCACTACAATTTTCTATTTTTTGCCGGGAAAGATACGCAACTCGTTGCTGTATTCGAATACTTGAAATTCTAAAGCTAGTATAATAAAAATACATTGTACTTGTTTGCAAAGAAATTCGTATTAATTTGTTTAAGTACTGTTTCTCTGTGTTTAAGTGATGAGTTTCATTATCAGGAGACACAAGATATTCGCTTTTTTTTTTTTTTTTTTGGCTGTTCTTCACTTCGTAGAACTAAAACAAGACCTGTTTTCTATATTTTTTAATATTCTTTTTACATATTTAATAACTCTATAAATTCATTTTCAATGATTTATGTACCTATTTAATTGAATAAAATGGTAAAACAAGGTTAAAGTTGAAAAAATTTTGTTTATTTTATATTCATAACATTCGTGTGTTTCAGTCTTCAATGTGCTAGTCTATATTTTGACAATATAATTTTAGAACCTGTATATTAGTGGATTATAATTTTTCCAATGTAAAGGGCAAGTTTACACTTTATATAACTCAGGTTTTAACTTAAAATTGAAGGAATAAAATTCAAAAAAAAAAAAATAGAAGAGAAAGAAGAAATCGAGACAAAATTTTAATATAATTTACTGTCTTATTAACTAGAAAAACTGCATAAAGAGCGCACGCTATCCAAGTAGCTGTTATTGTAACGAGATGCTTCGAATCTAATGCAAAGCATATTGAATTTTGTGATTCTAATAATTATCAAATATAGAAATGAATTATTATATTCAGATAATATGCTGATTATATTCATTACTACTATATCCTCTCAGATAATCATATCGTATAAGACAAAATACCCTATTAACAATCGTTTGACAGCATGTAGTTTGTATTAAATTACATACTGATCAGGTTTGTATCTAGTTTTAACAAGTAAAACTGTTTCAAGATAAAAATCCTTGTTTTTTTACCTAATGAATAGAGAATTCACTGTCATTTTTAATATATTCGTAGACATATCTGAATTGTTACGAAAGAAATTGTTGGTTTTACAAACTGATACTTTCTGGAATCTTCGTGTAAATAATATGCGATTTTATTTGTATATTAGATTGAAAAGCAGTTTTCAGTGTAAAAATCTTGTAAATTTAGTGAAATTTTAAAAAATTTGTAAACAAATTTACATGTTTAGGCGGGGAGAAAACTTAAAAAGAAATGTCAACTCGCTATGTAATTTTGTATTTTTGTGAAGTAAAAAAAAAAACGAAAGAATTGTGAAGATTTCAATTTATTTGTGTACATTTTCTAGCTACAAATGTCTTTTTAGGAATTTTTCGTCTTAGTTAACTGTTAATTTTAGTCAAAATGTTTAAAAACAACGTGTAGAATTTAGAAGAAACTTTGTAAATTAAAAAAAAAAAACAAAATTTCAATATTTACGAGTATTTGAGATTTTTCTAAAGTAGAAAATCTGAAAAACACTTTTATGAATTTTAAACTCTACATTTAACTTTGTCTATTAAAACCATAGAAACAACACCGATAAATAATGCAAATTGTTTTACTATTGTGTTATATAAGTACGGAATTGACAATAAATAATTTCTTTTCATTCTTTTTTTAAATTTCTATAATAGAAAAATGAAAAAGAAGGCAGAATAAATTAGCGAATATAACACTTTTAAGTCTGATAAGATTGAAAAATATAAAGGAAAATCAAATAAAAAAACATTATAAATAAAAGAAAAATTATAATAATTAAATACGATTAAAGTGTTTTTTTATATTAAATAACTTATATCAATAATTGTTTCCTATGAAATGAGTTCTGAAATGTAAGAATTTCAAGCGATAAAACTTGAAATTCTTGCATTTCAGAACTTATTACACCCTTTTTATATATAAAAAAATATATATATATATAATACGATGATTAAGACTTATTATTGATTACTCTTATGATTTATTTACGTAATGCTGTAAGAAGGAAATAAAAGATTAAAAGAAGCCGTCGTGTAAAGTGAAAACAAAACTAAGTTAATTGACAAATGGTTTTTCTTTTATATGAGTGTAAAAAATGAAGTTTAGGTAATTCATTATATTTTTCGAAAATAAAACAAAAACGATTATAGCTTATTGTGTATAATTAAGTATGCAGTATGAGTGATAAATTTACATATTTATAAATTAACGTGTAAATCTATAACGCTAAGATCGTGTCATACAATGAATCATAAGAATTTGCTTATAAGTTCGAGCTCCTATCTGACAATGCAATTAAATGTCTAGAAAATCGTTATTTTCCTAGGATTTCGATTCCAATTTTTAACTTTATCCACCAAGAAATTATGATTTAGATTGTTAATATTACTCCTTCGTATCTTGATGCAACAGACTGTAATCAAAAGTTGTTGTTTAATTAAAATATAATTAATTTACTTTAATAAATTCTTTCTTAATAAAGTAATTTCAACGTCAGTAGTTTATTATTTACTTATTATTGAAGCGTAAAATTATTTTTATTATTATGAAAAGAATGATTATTTTAACAGGAAAAACTTTAATTCTTCTTTTCGAGAATTGCAATTTTTATTATTTACAATTACTAGACTTTATTGTTATAATTTTAGTTTATAATCGTCTTTAAGGAATAAATCCGTTTGTTTTTCAAAGAAAAATAACGTTGTACTAAGTATTCTACTAAGTTAAATAAAAATAATTAAATAAATTCATTTCTTATAAAAAAAAATATATGTACAGATATGTTTATTCTTTCCCTTATTTCTAAACAATTTACGACAAGAAAGTTGAATAAACCAGCCACAATATTCGCTATTCCTAATGGTTTTGCCGAATGTCCCTGTTTACTGGGCATTCGGCAAACAGCGAATGTATGAATGCGCTCTTATATGTAATTTTACCATAAATCTATCAATCCTACCTTCTGGAAACAAAAATTATTTTATGTTCCTTATATTATATTCGAAACTACAGAATTTGTACGTATAAAAGCTTTATTTATTTAAATTAAAACATGTCACATAAGATACAAACACAGAAGTATGCGGAATACTAAAGATCCATTGCATCCTTTTCATTTCAAATATATTAATTTTGTTAATGCAGTTACGTAGGAAGTCATACGTGGAAAATTATCTGTTAATCTTGAAAGTGATCTTCAAGATAACTTTTTAACGAGCAAAGGTAACGTAAAAGCTTCAATAACAAAGTTAAAAAGCGTTATTTAATTAGTCTAAAACAATTTTCTGGATTCTTAATCAGCATTGTGTAAACAGATGTTCAAAGTATTAATCCTTTTAAAAATGAACTTTAAATTCGTGAGCAATAAAAGTAATTGTTTTAAGGTTTTATCCATTCTCCATGCACGATTTCCTATTATAATTACATTAACAAAATTAATACATCTTCAGTACTTTTGAAATGAAAATGATGCAAGGGACTTCTGACATACCGTATGTAGACTTTATTTTCTTTCATTTTGTGAATATATTAAGAACCGCGTGAGAAGTTCTTAAACTAATTTAAATTTTTAAAAATAAATCAAAGAATGATTAAGGAATCACCGAAAGATGATGGATGATATTTTAACAATTTTTTTTTCCTTTGTGTATTAATATAATCGTTGAAAGATTCGTACATGATAGATAATCTTTAAGTCTTCATAATCTTCTCTAATGGATGGCATTAGAAATAAGTTATGAAATTAAAAATAATATAATGTAATTAAACTGCAATTTGATTAATTACTTCGGTAAATTTTTTAATAATTTATATACTAAACTTGTTATAATTTAAATTTCTTTTACATATAAATTACGCAAAAATGAAGGAAACCTACAGGTGTTAGGTTAGAATTTTCTTATAACCAAATCTGTTTAAACCAGAGGATAAAGTTCAGTGGGCAGCTTTTTCTAAAAGAGAAAATAAACGGGGTAGATCAGACTGAAGGACACGAGGATCGTGGTTAATCAATTAAATATAGTCAGCATAGGAGAAGTAATATGACCAAGTATATTGTTTAAATAAGCAGAAAAAAATAGGCTGCTTAAAGTGGAAGTATTCCACCACCTCTTTGATTAATTTGTTTTAAATATATATGCGAATAACCAAATAAAGAAATAAAATTAGCGATATAAGACAAAGAGATAAACCAACTTTCGGTAAAGACATAAAAATCATAAGAATTATATAATATAGACGAGAGATAAGAGCATTTATTTTTGATGGAACGAACATTTTGCAAAGATATCTTAAGTGGAGTCGTTAAAAACATAATTAAATTTTCATATAAAAATTGTATATAGAATATTATTTATAAACATTAAAAATCATCACGTGTAGGATGATGAATCCGTAATCTGAAACCGATTCTAAAACTACTGAGTAATTACTCAATACACAATTATTTAGAATTTTACGAGTTAAAATAATCCATCATTTTATATAATCTAGCTCAATTTATCTCACTTGGTTCAGGTATAATAAGTTTATTATTAGATATTTTACATAATGAGTTTGATATTAATGCATCATTTCATGCATGGCTTAACGACTACTTTCTCCTTTTATACTTTTAAGAATAAAATGAAAAATCGGTGAAAATGAAATTATTTATTTGCATACTTTTATACTTAGAACATTATTTAGTTTTTCTTGCTCGTATAAATTCTCCTTTTTCAGACAATAGCACGTTATATCTTCTTGTACCCGGGCAAATTTAAATTGGGCTCAATGTATAGTGATGACATTAGACATTTTTCTTCGGGAATTTTTGGGAAATCCCCTCTCTCGTTCGTTTTTTAGCGTAACCTCTGATGGGTTCAATATACTTTATATATAGATTCCACCTGTAATATGGAAAAATTCGGAGACACACTTCATTTTCAGTTTTACAAATATAAGCAACTTTATAAGTAATGTCTATATTTTAGTTTGTAATTATTGTGTTTTTTATTGTTTTTGATGTGTTGTATTTTATTATAAATTTAGGGAATTCGGTGCAAGGGGAGCTTAATTTATGCTTGTGAAAGCATTACCAGTAATTTTGTAAAAATAAAATTAAATCTACTTTTTTTTATACAGACAATCATTAAAACTTTTAAAATAAATTTAATAACATTTATTAAATCGAATAACAGTTGATTTCTGTGCTTTCATCCTTAGATAATTTTTAATTACGGCGTGAATGTAACGACCATCAAAAAATATGGCTTATGACATTCTAAAAACTTCTACAAATTATTCTTTTATATAAATTACATTATACATTTTTTTTAAAAAAAAATTCAGTTTATAAATATTCAAAGCTTGTTTTTTGGAAGTTAAAGAAGTTCATGTAAGAGTAAATAATAATTTTATTAATAATTTTACTTCTTTAATAATAACAATTTGATTTTTGTTTTGACAGTAATAAAACAATTTTAGTTTAAATAAAATAAAAATCTGTTAATAATATTTATATATTTTATCAAATTCTACTGTTATTATAACATTTGCTTTTAACAATAATGATATTTTTCTTTTGATAAATGTTCAATTTAACATTATTAAATTAGGTAAAAATTCCCTTGAGTGTTTTTGTTCTAACTTTTATCGTTACTAAAAGCATTTTTTAAAAATTCAAGTTGCTTAATTTATTTAAAGAGATATTTCATCTCTGTTAACGTTCTACTACTTATAATTCTAATGTCAAAATAAGCATGTTTAGAATTTTTATTCCTTCATCTATAAAAGTTATGAAAAGATAGAAGATGTTAAAGGTTCCCTCCCCCTCTTTAAATAGCATCATGTGCTGTCGACAGAGTTAGATGTTATTTATTGTTATAAAGAATTTACAGAATACAAAATACTTTCAAGGTAGTTTTGTTATTTTTAAATGGTAAAGTTCTAATTTAATTTATAGTAAATTAAAGTATAAAGTTCTGCAGAAAGTTGAGATTTAATAAAACGTCAATTGCAATTTATATAATGTTGAAAAGTTAAATAATTGAAGTCCATATACAAAATTTCATTTTTTTTTTATAACTTAATAAGTTATAAATCTTTTCATTGTCCTTTATGTAGTTTCAATGTTATTCGTCAATTAAATTTTTAACTTATTATTTTGAAGTATAATAACGAAATCGTGGCTTTAAACATAAAAGAAAATTGGATAACATAATTTGTTCAAAAAACTCCAAATTTTTCACTTGTTTTATGGCTGGGAAAGCTCATTTAATGATAATATAATGCCATGAACTGTTCATTTTTATTCTTTTTTTTCAATAAAACAAAAAATAGAACGTGTGAAGTGTGTAATATAGGTGTAATAAAACTTAAATTGAATAATTTTTATAACTATAATGATTATCTTTTAAGTTGATACATGAAATAAGAAAAAAAAAAGTGATTAAAACTTATAATTTAATTATATATCGAGAATGTTATAAAGATTTTTATGCATTCTCATGTGGCTTATAAAATAAATTGTAAGATAAATTTAAAAAAATAAGTTAAAAATAGTTGGTATACAGAATAATCCATTCTTTTTTGTAAATCTATACAAAGAAGAATTAATTAAAATAACAAGAAATTAGAGATTTCGTTATAGAAAATTTCATAAGTAATTTCACCATTTTAACTTAAATTCTAATCATTTTGCATCTTTATATATTTGATCTATAGGACAATTGAAATTGTCCTTTTAATAATCTGCATATTACCATTAAAATATCCAATATAAACTAAAGAGAAAGTCACGAAGAACTTTACCAAACTGTTTTCCATTAAGTCATAAAAAGTAAATTAAAATTTTAATGCACTAGACTAAATTTCACATGTTTATGTACTTTGTTCGAAATATTAAAATGATAATTATTTATTATAACAGACAAGTTCAAAATAACGATAGTTATAAATCATTTATTTAATAATCATTATATTTCGTTCACTAACGTTTATCTCGATCATATCGTTAATCCCGATTATGTTTTCTCATGTGAAGTTAACATGAAGTAAGAGGAATCGATCAATAATGTAACAAGGGAAGTAACCTAATTCCAAATCAATAATGGAGTTAATCCCATATCGATTTCCTCAACGATATCGTGAAGTGGACATAAATCGATTAATAATTTTTATTTTTTATTATGTATATATATATATTCTTTATTTATAACTCGATTTAACGGAGATAATTTTCGTCGTATCAACTTTCAAGGAAGAATTAAGCTCCACTTCTAAGGCTTTATATTCTTTCTTGGGAATAAATTAATTAAAAAATGATAGTTTATCTTTCTCTTATATCATAAAATGTTATTATTAAAGACTACAGAATTTTAAAAATATATATATATTTAATAACTAATAATAACTTGTATGTTTTTAAAAATAAAGAAATAAAATAAACAGTTTATATAAATATTTATTTAAATCCACCATAAAAGGGTTGTATATAAATATGTAACATTTTAATAAAAACTTTTATAGATATATAAAATAAATGAAAACTGATGGAGCGAGCGAGCAATTCATTAGGATTTTTTATGGGTGGATTTCATTCCTTATCATCCCATTTGTGGGCCTAGTCGAACCCATGATGGGAATGGAGAAACGACAATCTTACTTAGTGTCCACTGGGCGAAGAGTTTATAAAACAAGCAATTATATATTGTGACATCGTTACAATGCAGGACTGCAATTTTTAATCATATTTCCAATTTATTTAATTTAAAATATATGCTCTCCACCTCAAACTAACTGTGGCTTTCCCCTGTACATCATACTTTTCCTTTAACAATAGAGTCGTGCAGGTCACCTATTAACTGCTTTCAGGGAAAGTTTTGAATTGAAATAACATGTCTTTCGGTTTGCATCGGAAGTTTGTATATAGTTAATTAGGGCCAACTGTCCCTAAGGTTCCCTTATCTGGTCTCGGATTTTAACTATATAACTCCATTCGAGATTAAGCAAAGATAGACGGACAGACGACAGTGGAAATTTATAGGTCTACAATTTTTTCAAATTGCGGCACAAAAATACAAGCAGCTACATGTTTAAAAAATTAGCCGTTTAACAGAATAAATCTCAAACGAAAGAATGAAATTATATTTGATTATTTAATAAAATTCTGAAATATTTCCAAAAAAATGTTTTCGAATATTAAAAAATGGGTTTGTTTTATACGTTAAAAATAAAATAAAATTAGAAATTTTTGACATAAAGCCAAATGATTAAGTAATTCGAATGCAAAAGAAAAAATAAATTTATATAAAATAATCATCCTCTATAACAAATAATAAAGGAAAAGAAGAATGCAAATACTAATTATACAGTAAATATTTCATTTTCTTTTATTTTTTCAAATAGACCTAATCATTTCTAAAACAATTCATCTCTAATCAATTTTAATTAATTTTTTAATGCTTAATAATTCAAATATACAGCCAGAAGTCGGTGTAAATTGAAGACAAGAGAGAATTATATATATTTTTTTCTGTATACTTACATAAGAATTTTTTACATTAAACGAAATTCTATCGAAAATTAGTTGGACTTGTCTCCTATAATTAGAAATATAAATAGCATATTAATAATTTTTTCTAACGAGTTTGTTTTTTTTATTACATTTTCATTTATTTTATGGTTGCATTTTTTATTTTATAGGTTCAATCATTAATTTTAATATTTTTTTATTATTCAATTTACTTTAGAATTTTTTTCTTATTGCATAAGAATTTTTTGTCATTTTTCTTCATTCACTTCAATAACTGTAAGATTTCTGTGACTAATGAATTGAAACAATGAGAAAAATTTTGTATCTATGTCAGAAAAACTTTTAAAGCTTCTAACCACATTAAACTTTAGCAAACAATAGAATCGTCAAGAGGTCCACAGAAAATTATGAAAAATTAAATTACATATCCTTAAATGTTGTGTAAACATTGGCTCAGTAACGTTGTATAATGGATAAATCCCTATATACAATGGTCTCTATTTCTTTTGGCTCTGTTTTACTTTATTATATTTATATTAATTTCTTATTGTATACAAAATTTCTCACTAGAGACGACAGAAGTATGAGTTATTTGTCGTAAAGACAACGCTTCTTCAAAGGGATATCCTTATGCAGTTTTAATTATATGAAAATATTTTTTCAAATAGTTTAATTTCAGTTATTAAAACCAAAACATCAGTAAAAAAGAAGAGCTGATAGAAAAAAGTTAAGAATAGTTTGGCCATAAATATTATGTTGATTAGAGACGAAAAGTACTCACTTATATTATGAATTGTTTAGAAGAAATACTATTAGATACAGCCATGGTTCAAGAAAAGTTTAAATGAACATTTATCTAATAAATAAATTTGTTTAATGTGATGTTAATTACATTAAACTCAATAAAACACTGCTTAATTTTAAAGATTTCTGATTCATAAAATAAATTACTTCTATATACTAAAATTAAATTTAGTAGCCGAGTTAATTGCATCCCCCAAAAAAATGAAATAAATCGTCATAATAAATTGAATAACAGGCTTTTTTTTATTTCGTCAAAGATACTTGAACTATTATTTTCTTCATTGAGAAGTTCTCGCATCAAGAATTATAGAGGAAGCTGTAAAATAAACGCTCATTAATAAATCTGCTAGTACGATCGATTTTATAAAGCAGAACTCTCTTAACTTTCGCAAATCTCTGAGAAAATATGCAAATATGCTAAAAAAAAAGAAGATCGCATTCCTTTAACAACAGAAATTAGACGGCTCTCATGATGAAAAATTTAATCAAAATATTTGAGCTCAGAATATACTTTTTCAATAAAGATAATCGTGTAAAAGAGAATTTTCTCTCTAGAAGATAGTAAATGGTTGCCGAAATTAGACGATTCAATTGATATTTATTTAAATCTATTGTTATCAGCACACGAGGCATAGTTTTATAATATAAAAATTATATATTAATAGTAGTTTTGTGTTTCTAAACAGCTAATAAATTCAAGCTTTATATATCGTGGTAGCAATAAAACATCAAAAACTAATTCTAATTTTCTTAATTTAATAAAATTTTCTCTGAAAGGAATTAGCTAGCTGACCGGCACTACTCTATTGCTAACGGAAAAGTATGATTTACAGGGGCAAAATTACTAATTTGAAGTGGAGAGCATATATTATTAAAAAGTTATTTAAAATATAGTTAAAAATTGTGACGGTATTACAATAAATAAGTTTTATGGCGTGGAAAAAGCATGCGTGTCTGTACTACATGCAATTTTATTGCTTACTTTCTAAAACTAAATTTTAATTGATTCTAAAATTTGATAGAGTGAGCTTAGAGGAAAAAGTAAAATAAACTTTCCTCATTCTGAAATTAGAAAACGAACTTAATAATATTGATTTTATAAATAATTCTCTCGAGAAATTAAGAAAGTCTATAAGAAAGTACTTTTTTCTACTATATTTTCACTTTATCGTTTAATAGCGAAGCGATAAATAATTTAATCTGTAAAACTCCTAAAAAGTTTTTTAATTTATTTAAAATTAGACAAATTTTTCTACATTTTTAAACTTTTAAATTAGAAAAGATGTGTAATTTTATCAAAAATAACCACCTTCTTTTCAAATTATCTAATTGTTTCTATTTGAAATAATTAAATGTACTAATTACATGACTAAATTTTTATAAAAAGAAATTAAATGATTTTTTAATTTAATAATTTATTTTTGTTATTGTAAATTTAGATTCAAAATAAGAAATTATTACATTAAATTAAACGTAAATCATTAAACATAAACACAAACTTTACGTTTCACGCCAATTAAGGTGGTGAAAAATCTTAAAATTTCTAAATGTTTTATAATTATGTAAAGTATTAAAGATAAAATATGAAACTATTATAGACCTTCGTAATTGTTATCTTTTTTCTAATGTATAGAAAAATTTCCGTAATTTTTTATATAAAATAATATACTAAAAATAAGTTATTTTCGAAAAAAAAAATAAATAAATGATTTGTTTACAGTAAAGACATCAAACAGAATTCAATTTTATATCCAATAGAGCACTTGGCAGTGATCACCAAACAGGAAAATCCATTGTTATCTCACAACCTTCATTCAAATCCATCTTCTTTTATACCATTACAACAGTTAAATGATCGCAGGAAAATTATGTAAACGTTTGTTTATTTCAATTTAACATCATCTTTTCATATCTTATAATACTATTAACTGTTTATCAAAATTTGGACTGGATTGATGGAATAAAGCCACGCAACAAGAGTGGTTTACCAATAGGTTTCATCCCTAGAGGATTTTCTTTCAGAAACTGGTTTATATTGAGGTGTTAGACACGTGAAAAAACTCGGAAAACCCCACGTGGCCATCTCGTTGAACACCAAATAGTAATGTTTAATGGGTTTTATCTACTGGTGGGCTATCAAAATTTGAGATACTAAAATAATTTCGATAGAAAAGCTAATTAAATCTTAAACTATAATTACAATCAGTGTGATTAATAGCATTTAAAAACATCAAATAATTGTCTTCTGTTTGAGTTAAATTACTTCAAAAATAACTAACGAACTTATTTAAAATTAAGTTCAATGAAATTCGATATTGTTCAGTAACTAATTAGAACTTATTACAGATATTTCAAATGAGTATCAATAAAGCATTGATTGGTTAAACAAAACATACGAACAAGCTTTAAATTTTTGAGTTATAAATTAAAATATCTCTACTTATATTTTCAGTGACCAGCCTAGCATCCAGTGTATTGACATTATCAGCCATTGCTTGTGATAGATTTGTAGCTATTATTTTTCCTCTTCACACACGTATTACTAAACAACGCACCAGTTTTGTAATCACCACAATATGGATAGTGTCTATGGCATCAGCAGTACCATTTTTAATATATAGAGAACAGAAAGAATTGCAGGTATAATAATAATAATAATAATAATAATTTAAGTTATTCTTCAAATAAAATAATATATTTTATTTTCAGTGGGAAAATATTGTTCAGAAAATATGTTCTGAAAAATGGCCTCCCGTTACAACTTACGACGAGGATTTAAACAAATGTGTCACCCATTATCCATCGAAAAAATTTTATTATTTATTTATAACAGTCTGCTTATTTTTCATGCCAATAATGATTATGTTAACTGCTTATACCTTAATAGTATGGAAGCTTTGGATTAGCGAATTACCCGGCAATAAAACTACAGCGAATGTTACCATGCAGCATCGTGCTAAGAAAAAAGTAAGTATATGTAAATTTCTTTGTTTTTTTAATGTAAAATATGCCATTTTCATGCTAATTAAACTTTATTTTTTTAACTGAAAGGTGTAAGAAAATTCTATTATTTGTAGTTGTATCACGTTCTAAAATATATATTGCACGAGTGAAGTAATAACTTTCTTCATTTTAAAATGGAATGGTGAAGAGCAATTTCATTTAATTTTATATATTTATATTCATTTTTTCCCTTCCTCTTATTTTTATTTTTTGAATTTCAATTGTAAATATTGATTTTGGAATTAATTTCGTTGAATATCCAGAAATAAAAAGAAAAAAGATACAGAATTAATTAAGAATTTGAGTATAATTAAGAAAACTTTTTAAAATAGTTAATATTAAATTTTCAAGATAATAAAACTTTTGCTTATTTTCTATATGTTATGTAATTTTTATCTAAATTGTGCAGATTCTACATTACTAGCTTCCACAATTTTATAAAAAAAAAGTAATAAAATAAAAAGTTATACCGAGTGATCGTATTCAAGTATCCATATTCAATGCCGTCTAAAGAGATATATAACAGTTCAAATACTACCAAATCTGGTATAGTAACATTTGGAAATATGCAGAATACATTTCCATACAAAAAAAAATTATATAGTAAAGGTATAATGTAAAAATAATAAGCACAACACTACTGTTTTGGCGCTAGAAAAGAAAAAACTTCTTAAAAATAAAAACCAAGGAGAAAAATTAATTAAAATATACATAATTTGAAAACGAATACAAAAAAGTAACTTGGAACGTTTTTTATTACGTCTTTTCATGTTACAGGAACACGAAAACGAACGTAATCGACCGTTCCTTCTTGTCTAAGATTATGAATATTTTGAATTATGTTTTCGTCTTAGATTTTTATTATTATTAAATTTTTACAAACCACAATGCTAGAGAGACTTTTAAACGTAATTTTATATAGTTTCTTGCAGGAAAAAATAAATAAATAAAGATCGACTCTTCTATTATTTAATTCCTTCAACCTAAGAAAACATACTAAGATGATTATTTTTTGTATTTGTCTTCAAATAATATATATTTTGTAAATATAATTTACATTCCACTCTAATATTTACTGATCATTTTCCATATAATTCATTTATTAAAACTATTTATAAAAATTTCATGTTAACACGAAAGTTAATAAAAGAATTTTTGTTACATATCGAATATATTTACAAATTCATTGCTTACAGAATTAAGATAAAACACAGGAGACTTTTTTTCCTATTTTTATATCCTTATCATCATGACAGATTTACATAAATATAAATATATTCTGTCTGAGTGTGACAAGTTCAAGTATTTTTCTCAATCTTTTGAGATAGAAAAATCTTCAGAATCGTAATCCTAGCAATTTCTCCATCCCATTTTGTAAGTTATCATTCTTTTCCTTTTTTTTCCTAATGATTTTCTTCTTGTAAACAACATATTACATTTCAGTTGATTATGTTTTAAACGTCGTAACGTCTAAGTAAAATAAATTAATGACGTAAATTTAAAATACAAGTAAAATATTTTTAGAAATATTATTTTAATTAAAGACAAAGTAAAAATTTTTCATTTTTAATATAAATTTTGAATATTGTCAGCATTGAATTTTAATAATTAAAATCTTTTGCAAACTTAATTACTAAATGCGATCATAAAATGTTCTTGTTTTCTATGAATTATTCATATTATTACAGAGAAAATGTTCAGATTTATTATTAAAGTTTAAGTCACTATTAAAATTTTACTAGTCGGGGACCGTTTATTAAAATTTAACTAGTAGTAAATTATTTTTCTTTGATTAAAAAGTTAACTCTAAAACTACTTAGAAGTTTATAAAGTAAGAAGTTTAAAATCTAATATTTAATATGTGGATTATAAAATTATGAAAATTTTATTTAAAAATCCAGCAACAAATTGCTTAACTTTTTCGGCAACATTTGGTGACGCCATCTGTTATGATATTTTATTTTAAAATCTGTTTAGATTTTTAACTGTTATAAAATAGCAAAATGCGTTATGTTTAGAGTAGGGGTGAGTTTTATAAACAAATTGTAAATGGTAATATCGAATAAAATCGTCATTAAGTCCGACCCTAATGGAGATACACACGAACCTCTTTACTTCCCCACCTCTTGACATTTAACCACCGAAATTTAATAGCATCAATTCCCTAATATATAAACCTCCCTGCAAAATTTCAGAAATTTTCGACGAAGTGCACGGAAGTTATTAAGATCAAATAAGGTGAACAAAATCGTGCCACACACACACACACTAACATCCATACATAAGAGTACAGAAATTACCTCCTCCCCAATGTTTTTGCATTTCTCGACGTTTAAAGGTTTCCTGAGTCCAAAAATGTAAAAATCTGTGGGTCATTTTTTGACTGATCGCCATACTTTCCCTTTGTTATAATATATAAGAGAGCCGGGAAGGTAAAAACAATCTTTAAAACTTTCTAAGGGATCGCCCGTAAATTACGTAGCGCCGTCGTACATACCTACCCTAAAAATTATGTTATGCATATTTTCGATCAACCCCTTTAATTGTTTAAGGAATAATAAACAGTATGGATTATTGAATATTACATTATTTAATTAATTATACGTATAATGTTTAAAGCAGTAACATAAATGGGACAGTTATCTACACAACACTTCAAAATAAACGTGAATCATTCTGTTACCCAATGATCGAGATTCTAGCATTACGTAACGTTTCTGTAAACACCCCACTATGTTGCATGCGTTACGTAATTTATGGACAGTCCCTAACTGTCAAATTCCTATAAATAAATTTGATAAGTTGAGTACGTTTTACGTTTCTTTTTCTTTCATTTGTTCTTTCCGAATATCAAATTAAACTTTAAATATTAGGAAAAAGCACGAATAAGATGCCAAAATTTTGTTTTGTTTTTTTAGTATTATGTGTACCTTTTTATGATATCAATAGTATAGTTATATAGACGAATATATTGTACAGTACTTATGGTAATATTCCTTTATTTAAAGGTAACATTCTGAATAGATTAAATAATTAATTACCGGATAGTTTAAACTAGATATTAGGCAATTTTATAGTAGTTCTAAAAACGTAATCTCTCTTCTCCACTAATGTTTTTACATTGAGCGTGGTTCTAGGTAAGTATGAACTTTTAAGGTTACTTTTAAATAAATTTATATCATGTAAAAACTGTATCACACAATACTTTCCTTTATACAAGTTCTAGTATTCTATCGATCATGGTAACGAGTATTGGATCATAAACAAATATAGATGATTATATATTTGTGCTTGTCTAGGCAGAAATTTAAATTGTATATGCCTAAAGCAGCATTGTTCTTCGAATATTGTGATTGATTTTTAGATACCGATTTCTAGAGAAAAGCCATATAAGCATATTTCTTCCTGAAACAGAATCAAAATATTTAGCAAATAAGTTTACAGTTATTCCTCACTTAACGATTACAAAGAAAGATACGAGTATATTTATAATTATTTACACTTTTGTTGAATTTTCTTCACGAATTTAATTGCAGGAAGTTGCAAACCCGATCCAATAAAAATAATATTAAATGAATTCTTTTCTTGAAATCTGATAGATATAATTTGTATTCATTATAATTTTACCTTTTTCCAATAACACCAACGTATTGTACATCCACATTAGAACACGTAAGGCATCATTTATTTATTTATTTATTTATTTATTTGAAAACTCCATACATAAAATTAATTTTTAGGAGGAGGGGTAACATTAATAACTTTGGTTAATAAATTATATTTATTCCATATAGACTCAAATGAGTCGTTGATGGAGAATAATCCATGAATTCTATCTGCTGGATTTTTACAAACAACATTATTAGTGCAAAAAACATTATTAGGAAGTGTTGATAGACGCAGATATTCAAAATCCTGGCAGTCAAACATGTAGTGATTTAAAGTCGCATTTCCTTTCTTACAAAACGAACACATTTCCGATGAACGTAGGTCAATACACAAGTGTTTCCATATTAATCGAAACTTATTTAGACGAATCTGTATGATCGTTTTCTTAACAATAAACGGTAACTGCTGATAATAAATGTAAAAACACCGATTGTTGTCTAATATTTCTGGATACCATAAATGATACTTAGCCTTAAGAATCCTGTCCCCCTCTTCTCTCAAGAAAAGATTATCAAACTCTTGTAAAATTGTATTTGCATAATATTTCAAAACATCTGGAGAGGAATCTATTAAGGAGAGTGAAAAACCTATTCTATTAAATAGATTCTCCAGTTTAGTAAACCAACAGTATTTGAACGATCTTTTCGATGGAAACTTCTTGAAGGTTAAATAAGCCTCGCATTCCAAAGATGATGGGTCAGAGATTATGCTTGTCAGAAAATTTAAGGTCAGTTTTATCAAGCGTTTCCGAGGAAACTCAAGGCCCAATTCTGATCTGATTGCATACGATGGGACCGACCTCTCGAGACCAAAAAGACGACGANGAGTTGTTTCTTTACTTTAATTTGGGTGTTATGTTGTTTTTAGTGTATTGTGTCAGCCTGCCTAATTGCTGTCTCATTTATTTGTGATTCTATTCTTCTTTGCCAGGCAGGCTTGTGATAGAATTGTGTTTTGTATGTGTTTATCTGCGATTGTATTTTCAGTCCATGGTGTGTTACTACTGTGACTGCCCCAGCATAAACTAATGTTTGAATGTCTGAGAGTGTAGAAATTGAATGAATGTAGTTTGGTAGTGAGTTTTACATAATTTAATGTTTTTCCTACTTCCTTTGAAGTGTTGATTTTTGGTATTTGTGGTCTTTGTGTGGGATCTGTACCTGTATATTTAGTGAGTATTTCCTGAAATATAAGTGAGAGCGTATTAACTAATTTTATGTCTATGTTATCAGTGATGGATGGGGAAGTGCCTGTAGTATCATTAGTTGTAGTTGTTGTATGTGTGCTATTATCAA